ATAGTGTCCGAATAAATTACTCTAGTCAGCCATTCTAGCAATAAATAGAATAAGTACATTTTTTCGAAATGCAATTTCTAACTCATACCTCGAACTGAAGGAATATAGTCATATTTTTACGAATACATGTTTATTGGAAAAGATGACAGCTCAGGGGACGTATCTGGAGAATTTATTGTGTATTTCTCTTTCTATAAATTTCGTTAACAATGGAGAATTGAGAATAAATAAATTACTGATGGTAGATGGACATGTTCCCTACTTTTAATGAATTGTAGAGGATTGTACGGTTCATCATAGTTGGTATTTCGTGAATTACTTCAGCTCCAGTCTAACGGAACTCCACTCCTACGCATTTACCCTTTAAACAAATGATCTCATTACATTTTCATGATTCAACTATTTAATGTTCGTCTAGTTTCATTAACAAATCTTCCCAGTTCTTAAGAAAACAACGGAATCGTTCAAATCTACCATTAAAAAAAGTGTAACGAAGCTACCTTTATGTTTATATTTATTTTGATATCGGTTCATTCTGTACCAGCTGAACACATTCTTTTGATCTCGGCTTAGCAATGCAATTCCGTACCGATGACTTCTCGCAGGGCAACTCATTTCTATACGTTAAATTGAGTGTTCTGAAATTCTTAATTCGTCCCAAAATACACCGAGTGGCACAAAAAAAACTTACTGGAAATGAATAAATTGTATCAAATTATTATTGCAAGGTGGCAGAGACAAAACGCCTGAAAGGTCTGGTTACGATGGCTGGCCCTGATGTAATATGCGTAGGTGCTGGAAAAGACTGTCAAGAGGCATTAAAGGTAATTATTATCAATCTCAGTTGCATCCGAACATTTGTAATAATGTGAAGAAACATCATGTATCATGTTTTTATTGCCCTGAATTCTCATATTTCTGACGCATCATTCCTCTTACCACAGAGTTTAATTGAAAAATTAACACATTTCCCTTTCTCCACTTTATTTCAGAGAATTGAAAGAGAAGCAACATACACTTATCAAACTCTGACCGTTCCGGAAGATGCAGCTGCCAACGTTATATATTTAAATGGAACCTTAATTCATCGTCATGAAGAAGAAATTCCGTCATCAAGCAAAGTATTCGATGATAAAGTTGAATTTCCAACGAAGGCACTTCGTATGTCGGAATTAGCAAAGCTTAGCTTGGGTTTGTCGTCGTGTTGCCTCTTGGTACGTAAACCCAAACATATTCGCAGTCTGTAAACAATTAACGTCGTACAATCCAGAAGATTCTTTAATACTTGAACGTAACATAATAACAAAGTCTCAATGTTATTGAATTTTCCTGCCTGAAAAAAAATGGAAAATCATTTGAATTTAAAAAGAAGAAAACTTGGAAATATTTTGATAAATATTAAGTAGATTCACACCAGCACTCTAGTCCCAATCTAGGTGGGAATGGAAAGAAGAACGAATCGGAGGACGCAGCGTTTAGATTTCCCGTTTAGATTTCCCGTTTAGATTTCTCGGAGCTGCTTTAACTCCTGGTAAATTCTTTTTAAAATTTATCCAAACCTCTCGTCCAGGGACCTCAGTTAAAATGAAATTTCAAATACCTTAGAAACAACTTATGAGAAATGCTCCTAATAATTCTCTCAATGTCAGTGATTTAGCGACTTCTATCCGGCCAGCAATCGGCCAGCAAAACCTATCCGTTGTGGGGCGCCTTAACCATTACGCCAGGCCACCACGCGTCAATTCTTTTTGAAATTTTAAGTAGTAAAGTAGTTGTCTGTCTTTTCCCGGGTCCACAATCACCCACCGTTGTTGTCCATTGTGTATAAGTGCATCAACAGGTGTTGTCATGGGACCAGATACGCCATCACGTCCACGTCGTTGGCCCTGGGTGACGCAAAAAGCGAAACATAGTGCGATTCGTCAAAAAATTCCAAACGGGATAAGGACTAAAGTACTGGTGTGAATCTACTAAATATTTACCATTTTTTATGCTGAATCTTGAGAGCAATCTTAAGGAACTCAATATAATTCGGGCACAATATCCGAAATTCAGAATATATTATTTGAGAAAACGAATGATTCCCCATTTATGCATAAATATATATTATTTAAAAAGAAATGAAATATTTCGAGTCGAATATATCTTTCAGAAATTTGGAACATTTTTTAAAATAAACATTAAAAGAGTGTTCAGTATCATGAACAAGGTTTATGGAGTAGAATTTGATTGAGTTTAATCAAGCGTTTTACGTTGTCCGAATTCTTCACATTCGATTATCATATTGGAGAGTTTTAATATATTTGATAGTAAATATCATTGATGAGAGGTATATATATGAGAGAGTAATATATTAAACCGCAGTAGAGTAACAAAATATGCATTTACCGAAATCATGTTTCATTTTATCTCGACGTAAAGTCTCAACATAATAATGAAACTTACCAAAATACTACCAGTGCTCACATATAAATCCTGAATCGCTAGCGTATTCCGATCATTCGGTATCGAAATTGGCAATTATTTCAACTTTGAAAATATCTTTTCATATAAATTTTTTCTGTTCACGACACAAATGTCTAAAATAGTTCATATAAATTGTAACCCAACCGTAGTAATTTTTTTTAAAGAAGCCTCGTACAATTTTAAAAATCAAATTTCAAATATTTTGATTTCGAAATTACCGAATACAATCTCAATTCTCATTTTTTATACGTATGCACAAGAAGTTATAGATTACTATAATGATGATTATAATGATGACACATTGGGAAAAAATTATAGTGACATAATCGGAAGATATTCCAAACAGATTTAATTATCATTAATTGGAGCTTTTAGGGGAGCTGTTTAGAGTATTATTTATCAGGGTATTTTTATCCATACTGTAATATTTACTGCTTTTTCATGACAGTTAATTATTGTAAGCACCCAGAGAGCTAAATGAACTCCGAGACAATTTTTATTACAGTAAATCGAATTTTATGCGATTTTATGAGTTTCAGTGAGAGGTTGTTATTCGTAAGAATAATTTAATCTTTTGAATAACTAATGAGGAGCATGTATTTTGAAAAGATATTTTGAAAATGATCGGATATTAAATGTAATGATTTGAAGATAATTGAAAATATATGGCAAGCTAAAAAATTGAATAAATTTAGTAGTAAATGAATAATTCCTTCAAAAATAAATCATGAATTAGATTAACATCAAACA